GGGGTGTTGAATCCCCTGGGTGCTCAGATGTCTTTGACTTTGATTCCCACCTCCTGTCCTATCATACAGTGGATTCATCAAGCTGGGGATGAATCTGAGCCCAATGAAGAGCCACATTCTGATCATCCGACACTTGACCCACTTTTGGTCTCAGGGRCGGGGTATAGGCAGTGTAGGCAAATGCTAAGGGTACCATACATCCAGGGGGGGGCCACTGATGGGGGGACGAAAAATCTATTCTGTGTGTTTCTCAGCTTGCTTTGTTACTGCAYGAGGTGTTACATGGTGCAGAGGATGTGTTGTGCTAAAAGTACATGATTCAGTCAAGACGAACTACTGGTGCTCAGTGTGTAAACAAAATAATGATAACGGAAATGTCAGTTCTGATCTCAGATCAAGTTCAGGTTAAAGTCTGGGTTTCAGTGTTCTACCATCATTAAATACTGACTTTATGTTGTTTTATTAATCCCAAGAATTAAGTCAAATGCTCTTCAAATGATTCGAAAATGCATGGTTTTTAATAAAGATATTCACAAAAAAAATTTCTTGGGGGGGTGGGGGGTGGGGGGATATACTCCTGGGCCCCCCTAGAACTGCCTCAGTCCACAGCTGCTCATCAACATGAACAGGTGTTCCTCGTTGCTGTCAGCAGCTGCAGGCAGAGGTAGATTTCTGGTATTCTGTTTCAAATGAATCATATTAACTATTTTAAATGGACAACCTGGTTTCTGAAGATAAAAAACATCATCAGAAGCAAAACTATTTAATTTGGTATAATGTTGGTAAATTGGCAGTGAAATTTAGAAAACTGCACAAAGGGCACTACTTATGAAGCCAAACTGGCTATAGGGCCGGCCCTGTCTGGTCTTCTACAACAACAAATCCTACCTTGTTTCATGAGCTGACAGATTGTGACTGATGGTTATTTAACAGAGATACAGAGGAGTGTTTGCCTGATTAAAGAAGGTGTACTGGTCATTTACTGGTTTTTCAGTCCATTTCATGCTTCTGTGCCTTCAGAAGCTGCCAGCACTGGATCTTTATTGTCTTCTGACCTCTAACGGATTTGAAATCAAGCAGTGAAGCATGAAGTGTCACTTCATTGAGCAACAAATGAACAGGAATGAATGGATTTTACAAATGTTGTGTCTACACGCTGTGACGCACTGGAAAGACAGTTGCAGTGGATAAAGACACATCTTAAAGGCAGCATGTCTTAATAATTGTGCAGATCACAGCTTTTAAGACACCAGGCTTTGTTTTGTGTCCCTGCAGCCTTTTTCTGCTTCATTATCTCCATCCTGCAGTTCTGCTCCTTTCATTTCCTGTGAAGCACAATTCTCATCTCTCTGTTGCTGTTTATGTTCAAACCCACCTTTTATTTCTCGTCTGCCTCTGTGCCTGTCACGGCTCTGCTCACAGAGGACTGCTCACTTGGATTTGTGTGCTCAGGCAGCCACTCCCAATTGTGCTGCAGACTTTTCTATTATTAAACGTAACGAGACCTCTGCTTATGCAGCTGAAAAATCCCAGTGTGGGAAACTTTCCTATAGCTGCACATGATATTCCATTATCTGTGCTGCAGATGTGACAAAACACAGAGGAACCCCACCGAGAACACAAACAGACTTGCTTTTCTCCTGTTGTTAATTTATTGAAAGCAGAATTAAACAGTTTTTTTTCTTTTTGTTTAGTTTTTTTCATACATAAAGTTTTTTTTTTCTGCCAAAACCTGATGCATAAACAGATGGACGTCTGRGAGCATTCTGCTCGGTTTAACAAAGAGAAATTAGGGGGAAATGAGCAGATGAGCCTGAAGGCAGGAACGTAACTGTTGCCAAAATCCTGGAGTGAGGCAGATTGAAGTTATTGTTATGCATGCATCATTTGCATCTGACACCATAAGAAATTAGGTGGAAATGAATGAGGCAGAACTGCCATTAGCACAAATCAGACTTCTGCAGCTGTTTTAGCTGTTTTTGGCATCATTATAGCACATTTTTCTAATGAGGATGACTGATTTGGATAATAATTCCTCTGTTCTCAGTCTGAGTAGATAGTTGTGGGTTGTGCGGAGGAATTTAGGGACACAGACAAGGCCAATTTATCATAACTAATTTTTGTTTTTATGTCCTTTGTGACAATAATTACACATCCATATGAAGGGTTTCAGTCATGTTCTRCTTTATTCTTCGTTCCAGAAACATTAGTGTGTGCTCCTGTTGTGTGTGTGTGTTTGTTACCAGGTGGGGACAACTTTTGACCATTTTCCTGGTACACCRGTGAGGACCCRCTGTTTCTAATGGGTCTCCATTTGGGGAAATAGCATTGGTGGGTCAGAGGTTYGGGTTAGGACTAAGGTGTGAATAAACTWTAGGTTAGGTTTAGGGTCAGGTATGTACCTGTGAGGTTACGTATGGGATACGTGGTCGGGTTTATACTATAGAAAAGACTGGTAAATGAATGGAAGTCAATGCAAAGTCCCCATGAGGATAGAAGAACAAACGTGTGTGTTGTGTTTTACCAAAATAACTCATGAACTATTGGACAAATATTACTGAAACCTTCAGGAAATAMTTGTTGGAGGTGTATGTATACAAACAGAACATTTGTACCCAACTTTATTTAAGACGGCTCCGCAGCCATCTGACTTCAAAAACACAAAAATGGCTATAACTTAGTGTAGAGGTCTTCAACGGTGGAGTCAAGGTACTGCAGKGGGTCATGCATGGCATTTCTGGTGACTTTTTCAATAATGATTTTTTAAAGTTTTGTCCT